TTCATCATGTATTATGTAACTCGATAAGCCTTCTACTGTTCTTTGAGAACAGTTAACACAATTCATGATGAAACTAAAAGACAGAGCACGTAATGAATTCAATAAAACGGCTAGAATTGGAGACTAGAACTACTATAAAAGCTTTCGAAACTTCACAATTTATAGAGAAAAAAAGGTGTATTCAAACAAAAAAGTTTGGAACGTTAAAAAAGTAGACCTCGCACAAGTTTCGAATTTTGAGGTTTGTCGTTCATAAGGCAGCGACAACTGATTAACGAAAAAACAGACAGACATTAACAAATTTAGAATGTATTCCAGTAAATATTAGACATCAGTAGTAACACTCGTCCTACAACTATTTCAGATAATTTGGGCTATGTGAAAAACATCGATCATAACTTTATAGGCTGGGTCGAATTTGCTCAAGATATTGATAATAGTGCTAGTATATTACCATGAAGGACATATCAAAAACACTATTAACAAACTTTTTGAATTATCTTTGATCTCAAGAGATATCAACAAATACGTTCCTCAAATCAAGAGATAAGCTATTGGTCGACAATCTTTTGGACTTCTTAGTACTTTGAGAAAAATAGATATTTTAACATCCACATCCCCACTTGGCAAAGTAGTTTAAGAGAGCCCAATGAAGAAATGGTTCGGAGTCGAGACCTCTTGATGGTCAAAAGTCTACTGGCACGTGAGTCTGTGGTATGAAGTTGAGAATACCTACCTCGGTGAAAATACTTTTTTCATATTTTTTTTCATTGATTAGATCAGTCTTTCCCAGGATCCCTCCACGTTACATGCCCAAGCGGTATTCCAAAACTATTTGATAGATTTCAAAGAACAGAATTTCACAATTTCAATTTGGTTAAGGGCTTCAAATTTACAGAGTTTCCTTTTGGCTCATATATCGTTGTCACTATATACTATATACACTCGTGGGAATCCTCTCTAATGATGGAAATTGACGAAAAACGTGAATGAAACCACCTGTGCCAACATTTGCATTTTCCAGGTGACTTTTTTCAACTTTGACTTCAAAAGGACCGAAATAGTTAAATCCAGATGAACGGTCTTATGTTTGGCTCCAATCGACAAGAAGAAAGTTGTCCCATAAGCGGAGTTTTGTTGCAAACATGTAAGATTTTTACATACCTGAAAATTTTCCCAACAAGATCTTATTGTTTGTCGTGCTCAAGTGATGCAAAATTTTCATTCAAAACTATTTCTTGTCCATGATGTATATGTATATGAAACAAAGAGTAGTGGGCCTAACATCGATCTTTGAAGTACCTCATTATTTATTTTAATGGTAGTCGATTTTCAGTTAATGGGTATGACACACTGAGAACGGCTCAACAGGTAATTTCCAAGCAGAGTTACCACGCTGCAGGCAAAACCCAGGTACTTCAGTATTGCCAGAAGTAGGGAATGGTTAATGTGTCCAGCAATACCAAAAGACAAAGTTTGTTTATGTTGACAGAACAATGCAAATCATCTACAACTTTCAGCTGTGGTTTACCCTGACAGGTTGATCAAATATTGAAATCGTTCAAGTAGTTACGCATCTGCAAATTCAAAAGGTTTTCAAATGTTTTGGATATAGCATTAGCTGTGCATTACTTTATCAATAAATAATTTGACATTTTATTAGTAGCAGGAAAAATCAGTANAGAGAAATTATTTATAATGTTTATAAGTTTATACAAACCGAAAAAGATCGACAAACTCCAGCAATTCCTCTAAGCAGTTTACAAGAGAGAGAGAGAGAGATTGTATAATAATAATAATTTAATTTCTACTAAGCCAATCTTCAACTTTGACAGTATGACAATATTAGTGTTTCAAAAAGTCTCGAGTTCCTTATTATCTGTCGACATAACAGAAACACTGCTCGCTCGACTGGGATCCATCTCAACTGCACCTCTCGTGTGAGTTGGTATTATAAGACATTCATTTCTTGTTGTTGCCCTTCTCTCTGTTACGACTAAGTACCTCAATTCATTTTGGGATTTCTTTTTCACTGCGAGTTTATGAATGACATCAAGCTTTTACATCTTAATAAAAAGACACCTTATTTCGTGTAAATTTCGACCGACCGGGATTTCTACTAGCCTTTCAAACCATCAATTGGCTCCACAGACTCCACAAACCTCAACCTTCAGAAGTTAAAAACTGTGCGAGCTGAGGATTAACGAGATCTTACCTTTCAACATGTGATTCCGGGACGACCGGGAATATTGCAACGGAAGTCAGTCCAAGAACCGGTTACCCACCCAATGACACCCGTGTCCCAAGTTGCTTCACTCAGATAAAAAATCGAGTTCTCACTTTGATCAGTTTGCATCTCCATGACATACGTTGGTTATGGCCGGAAAAATAATATTGATGAATCGATTACGTTCATCTGAACTCGCCAAGTAGAAATACACTCTGATGTCAGGATATTTTTGTTATCTTCATAATATCCCATAAACAACTTTGTGTAAATTGTTTTGCTACACGATATGAAGTCATGGTAGAGATAATATAGAAATAAATATATGATGAATATCTTCTATAAAGTCTATAAAACAATAAAGGCTGTTTAGACGCATAGACTAAAACATGAGAGATCGATTTTCTCACAGATTTTAGAAAACAAAGCTATAATTTTCGCTAGAAATATCTGCAAAACGGTGTTATTTCAATTCTAGGGCGATATACCGTTTTATTTAGAACAATGTGAAATTGATCAGTGATGTTTTCAAAAGGGTTAATCGTAGTGTACCTATTTGTAGAATTTTATTAATTCCAAAAGATTGGTAAAATTCCCAAAGAAAGAATTTCACATACCGAATTCAACTCGGTCAATGAGTTGACTGATTATCGTTTTTATAGAGAGTAATTGTAGACGCCATGCTTGTTAAGAGAATAGCAACTAGGACTCTTCAAGATGAGGCCATTAAGTTAAGGCCACCAGGGGCTGCCCTCAAGGTGGGATACTACCTCCTTTCCCTTCTGTGGTCACTCCTGATGTATACTTTACGCTGTCTTTGACAGAATAGAAGTAGATTTGCAAGCCTATGCAGATGCCTGTGTCATCCTGGATAGAACCTCTTCGAGGTGGGTAGCCTGTTCGTTCAAAGTACGTTGGACGTTGCTCACAGTTAGACCAGAGGCAGCAGATGTCCATACCCCAGCAAAACTGTGATTATCTTCTTTACAAGGAACAGGAATCGAGATGATTCAACTTCACTCTTCCTTAATGGTGGTGTTATTCCATAAGCAACGGAGGTGAACGTTTTACAGAAAGCAAGACTGTCCCTAAAGACGTTTCGAAGGATTTGTGATAAATCTTGGGGCTTAGGTCCCCAAACAAGTCCATTGGATATATGTGATGATTATTGTCATAGCAATGATCACATTTCGAGCAATTTGTCTGATGACCGGAAGCTTTACAGCAAACGGCACAGGCTAAACTCTCTAGTTTACAGAAACGAGATTGCCTGGCTATGATGCCATCAGTACTTCATCGTCAGCGCCATAAAAATCCTTCTAGACCTACCTCCTCCCTGAATCTTCCTGGAGACAGAGGCTAGATGGACTCCATACAGACTTCTGCATATTGCCAATTGCACAAAATTGGCTCATGTGGAGCGTAGTAGACTGCTAGCTGACACTGAAAGTCACAGCATTCTGAAAATGATCTCCGACATCATTATGGCTCTATCAACTACCATATACAGTCCTGCTCCCGAAGAGAGAGAGGATTGAATCTTTAGGAAGGAAGAAATATTGAAATCAGAAAGCTGTGGATTCACAGATGTATCAAAAACACCAGGTTCTAGTGCATGTTTATATAGTCGTAGATCTAAGACAGAGACATTAATCTGCTTAGGGACCTATGCGACCGTATTTCAAGCGGCAATTTTAGATGGTAGAATCCAAAGTGGCCCTTAAAAGCTTTTGGCTCCTACCGAGTAACATTCAAATTGGTAAAGGCGATGGTATCTCCCCTCATGAAAACGTCATTTATGGGATCATCAGAAGACTCAATCCTCTAATCATCGATAAATGAGGATCCCCAAGGCGATCAGTTGCAAAGCCAAGCTTCGACATCGCTTTCAGTGAAAGGCAGCTGGATGGACTTGTGATCCAATTTGTGATCACGATTCCATCTAAATTGGTATCACACTGCCAAAAATGACTCTGGATACCTGACTACATTGGATTGGAAGGTAACGAAGCTGCTCACACCCTTACAAAGGAGGGATGTTGTAAGCGGTTTGACCCGTCATTGGCATCGCTTCGCTTAAGGTTTTGACAAACAAACACCTAACACCTGGACTGCAAGAAGATTTTTCAATTCCGTCAAAATCTATCAGGATAGGTCCATCCGATATTAAACAATTGGTAAACTGCAGCAGGAATGTACTATGTTGTCCTACTGACAGGTCGCTGTCGTCTGAATCATTATACGCAGAGACTTGGACTGTCGCAAGACAGTGTGTGTCGTTTCTATTTGGAAAATCAAATGAAAAATCATTTGGAAACAGCAGAACACATTTTTTGTGCCTGCCCCACTGCGGACAGAATCAGCCCAAGTCTCTGCATACGAGTATTAGGATTCAACCAGTGACCTGTAAAGAGAGCAGTTATACAAATATCGAAAATATCGGGTCGTAGAACGTTTCAGATCAACAGCTTATGGCGGTTTTTGAGGGGTACTAGTCTGAATTTATTAAATATTGAATTTAAAGTTTTTATCACATGCCAGTCAGCTATTACTGACACTGTACAAATGTTCAGTTGCACAAATTATATAACGTAAAAAAGTAAATTGGAATATTCAGTCTAGAATCCAAAAAAATAGAAATTATATTTAAGAAAGATTATATGTTTTCATTCCACTTCTAACGAATGTGATTTTTCATAATGAAAGACTGAGGCTTCATAATTATCAAAATGTTTCATATCCAGCTCTCTTTTCGTAAAACTAAATTGTTTTTTAGATGCTGGGTATTTGGTATGTTATCGAGAAAACTAGTACAGCTAGCAGTTGCATCGTTTATAATATTACAAAAACGGACGAGCCTGAAGAATACTCAATTGAGGAAATCAGTCAGCACTTTTTATTGTCATTGACTCCTCTCAGGCATGGTTACCACTACAGAGGAACCTTGACAGTTCCCGACAGTTCCGTTCCTGCGAAAATGAAAGTCAAATTTCCTTTGAGTAAGTAATTCCTTATGTTTTCGATCGATTTGTATGTGCATCACCCCAATTCTATGAGTGGGACTAAATTTTTCCTTGATTTAATTAAAAAAACAAAGATAGATGAAATAAGTTTTACTTTTCCAGTATATAAAAGAAACATTTGAAATGAATTTTTCATCGTATGAACTAATCTTTATTATGTTATTTCATTTTGGTTAGAATAACTCATGTAACATTGAAATTATTCGCGTGGTATAATGAATACCATTTCAAAACCCTTCCTTTGGCAGTATTTTTTTTTCAAGAGATCTAACACTATTTACGCCTGGATCTGGTGTCGTATCCATTCAATGAAATTTTTTAAGTACAGTCCAAGACATGTAAAGTCAAATTATCTATCGAAAGATATCGAAAGAATCTTTCGGAAAAGATTTTATTTTATTGACTCAGTGACATAAATTCTCTGTGACATAGAGACATCCGTGAAAACACTTGTGTGTTTCGTATTTCAGGTGTTGCTGGTTCATCCTCCTTCACGGTGTTCACTACTGATTATGATACATATGCTGGTATCTTCACTTGTCAGAAAATAACATTTTCCAATAGACAGTCTGCCACCATCCTATCCAGAACTAGATCTCTAGATAAGATGTACATTGACAAGGTGAGTTAAGTTTTAAATTTACCACAAGAGTTTTTTCATCGGTTTATGGACATGAATTGAATTGTAATACATTTGATGCAAGCAGAGCTTATGACTACTGGAAATTAATCGGGATACTGAGATGGTTCACTTCCTCTCAAATGATCCACCCGGTGCTAGTACTCCTAAACCGATCTGTCGGTGGTCATCCCGACCAAATGAAATCTTTTTCTACTTTTTATATATAGAAAGTTTTACTTCAGCTCTCTGCGCGGCTTTAGCTGAGTGAGCTGTTGTTTTTCCGTCGGGTATCTGCCACCGTACCTACTAAATCGTAGGTCCCACATGAGAGGCAAGGGTTTGGTATTTCCCCCAGAACTTGGACATGTCGCATGCATCTCTCCACATATGTTCATTATTCTGACTCCCATCCCGGAGTATGTGTTTGTTGAGTGGCTTCCGGACTTTTATCTGCAGGTGGTGCAGTGATATATCCTATTGAATCAACTGCAGTCAGAGCTTATAATTAGTTGAAATTAATTTCGTTTGATCGAGATATTCAGACGGTTCTCTCAGTCTGAAATGACCCATCCGGCACTGACGAGTAGCTGGTACCTCGAAAACGGTCTGTGGGTGGTCATCCTGAACAAATGAAATTAATTTCAGCTTTTCATATGTGAGAAGTTCCTTGCGACGAATCTTCCAAATAGAAGACATTGTACATGTGACTGATGGTTTTACTTCAGCTTTCTACGCGGCATTAGCTGGATTAGCCGTTGTTTTTTCGTCGGGTATCTGTCACACGTACCTACAAAATCATAGGTCTCATAGTCGAAGCTTTTGAGTAGGCAGATTGAGACCTTCGCAGAGACCAGCGACGATACCTGGGGATTAGGCAAATTGAGACCCCGGCATCGGACCCCTAAACTCCTACAGCGTGTCATTACCTGAGAAACAGGCAGATTGTTATCTCAGAGTAGTCATAGTTTCTCAAAAATGGCTACAAAGTTAAATCTGAATCATCGAACAAATGAAAACACCAGACGTGGTTTAACCAGGACTTCAGCTAATCACATTGAACACCGCGGAAACATTTTCGAATATATATGTCCGAGATAGAATAGTTGGGTTTCCTTCGAGACAAGTATTTTACAATGGTTATAAAACGTGTGAAGTTCATGATGGGCCGATTATATTTTTGGAGTCTATGGCGCTGGGCTTGAGCCTGAAGTGACACATCTGGTTACTAACGTAGCCACCCACGGGCACGGACGAGTAAGAGTATGAATAGGTAAAGGGATTGGTTTCAATGAACCAATTCAATGAACTTCACTGACAACTAACGAATTATACCGAATCTTCTGCAATCTTCAACTCGAGCGCTCATGTTGAAATTTCGGATCATAAGATATCTGAGCTAGATAATTTTTATCACCAACATGTATTGAGTTAACTTCTTCTTAGAATACAAGTTTTACATATTTGAAAAACCTAAAAAAATGGGGATGATCGTAACTGAGTATATAATTGAATGCTAATAAACTGAAGCAGTCCTAAGTAGGCCACACAATTATACTGCTTTCACATCTAAATTGTTGGAGGTCGATTTGTATAAAAGCATATCATACATAATCACGTTTCTGGAAGTTAGGGCAACTTTTCTAAAACTTTGTATCCACCTTTGAACTACTCTTCATAATTTTTGAATAAGTTTCAAAGCTCAAATTGAAGCTTATATATACACACATGCACTTGATTCTTCAGAGAAGTATACGTTAGAATTACGCTTATTGGTGATCATTTGATACAGATTATGTGATGCTTGATATTTCGTGGACCCGTTCGTAGTTTTTTATGAACATGCCGTTTAAACAAAGCCAATTTCTCATAAATGGCATTAGGAAAAAAATCATTTGGACCCATCGATTTTTATTTCGATGGAAAAACTTTTGGCCCCATCGGCGAGGTAAAATCCGATCCTTGAATCTTATTTATGATCAGGGATCAAACGATATCTAATTTATCAGGGATCAAACGATATCTAATTTGGGAGGTCATCGTTTTTTCTTTCCAATGCTTTCGACTTTTTGGAACTTGACGCAGTGGATATCGAAAACAACATTGAAATTTTTAGCAAGTTAACATGAAGGAAGTTAGCTTTTATTCAGTTTTTGACCTTACAAAAAAGGAATATTGAAATTCAAAATGTGCCCACTATTTTACTTGT